CTGACTAGTACAATGAACTATTTACTATTCAGCAATAAAAAGGAGCCAACTATTGGTATGTGCAATAGCATAGATAAATCTCAAAATAATTGTGCTAAGTGAAAGTAGTCAGACAAAAAAGTATGTACTGTATGGTTCCATTCATATAAATTATAGAAAACTCAATTTAATCTATAATGAAGTAAATCAGTTCAGTGCTTGCTTAGGTATGGGCATAGGTAGGGAAGGGGGTTGGATATAGGGATTACAAAGAGGCACAAGGAAACTTTTTATGGTCATGGATATGTTCTTTATCTTAATTATGGTGATGATTTTACAAGCAACAACATATCAAACTGTGCATGTTAAATAAGTGTAGCTTATGTTATTGCATCTCAATAAATTATTTTAAAATCTAATAAAGATTTGCTTAAAGCGTTGTACAATTTTTATCTGCAAATTTTAATCATGACAATATAGTATTTATATGATCATTTTAAACCAAGATAAAAAATAGTAAAGGTATTTTTAAAGTAGTAACTTAAAATCTCCTGTCAACTCTTAATTCTTACATTCTCTATAGAGATGGAGTAACAAAACAAAAAAAGCAACTACCAATGATATTTTTCCTTAACTTGTAAAAGCAAGCACATAGGCATATATTCTCTTCAAGGAAAGATTCCTATATAGAATCACCCAAAAGTTATTTATTCATCTCCAAGATCACTTTAAATTGCTTTTTTTTTTTCCTGAGCAAATTGGGAGAAAAAAAGGGTGGTTTGTAGCTTTTAAAGACATAATGGAAATAGTAAATGCAATTCATATTTCCTAAAACAGAGAAGTTTTTATTTTCCTGTACCCAAGATAAATTTGGCAAGTCTTACACATTTAAAAAAAATAAGTATAAATTAATTTGGTAGTTGGCCCTGAAAGAAATAAAGGTTGATAATAATTATATGTAGAAAAATAACTTTATTGTAGTTTTTTATTCCTTTTACTGCATTCCCATCAATATTCCCAATGCAGAAACTAAAGAAGAGTTTTTCTGCTGAAGAGATTTTAAACCATGAAGTTAATTTTACATTCCCTATGGAGTCTTGCAAATTGTAGGAATTTAGAGTTGTATATCTTATTTGTTAAGAGGGACTTAAGCACAAATTATAGTTGTCTTTTATTCTAAGTTCAATTGATATATTAATTAATCTGTCATTACTTTTCACTACTTCTGTCAGTGATAGGAATAATCAGAAATACTTTTTTTTTTTTGGAAAGGATATTTGTAATAATCAATTTCACAACACCTGGATGAAGCAGCTTCTTATTATTATAATACTAGAGGCCTGGTGCACAGGTAGGGTCCCTAGGCCTGGCTGGCAATCAGGGCCAATCTGCGGGGCAACCGGCGGGGTGATGAGGGGTCACCGCTGGCACCTACCTAGACCAGCCTGGCACTACCAGCTAGCCAGCTGCCACTGTTGGTCACCTCCCTCTGCAGGGCGACTGGAGGGGCAATTGGGGAGTTCCCCACTGGCATCCATCTTGGCTGGCCTGGGGCCTGGGAGCTGGGGGAAGCTCCTGAATTGAGCATCTTCCCCCTAATGGTCAGTGCATGTCATAGCAACAATCCAATCGCTGCAGTTGTTATGCCATTCTGTTGATTTGCATGTTAGGCTTTTATTATATAGGAGCCACATTACAGATCAGGAAATTAGAAAATAAAGTTATGTAAATGTATAGGGTCACAGATACAGAAAAATATTTTGAAGTTTGATTATGTGCTAATATGGCTGTGTGTTTCTGGCTTAGGTAAATGGGTGGGGGGGATCATCAATAAAAACTAGAAGGTTGGGAGAAAGATGGAGTTGTGTGTAATAGGGAAAGACGAGCAGGATGAATTGCATTTGGGATAGACTAAGAGGAGTCAACAGGTAAACTAAGTGACAGGATCTAATATGAAGCAGTCGCTATGTGCCTGGAGTTGGTTTAAAGATCAGGAATCAAGATAATTATAAGAGAGAGATAATTGCCCTAACATGTTTGCTATCACACATCAATTAGCATCAAGTATAAATATTATTTTAAAAACAACCACAGTAAGCTTCAGTATATAAGGAAATTATATATTCAGAAATATATAATAAAATATTCAGAAATGATTTCATTACTGTCATTTGATACTAGATACTTATCCTTCACAGAAATGATTCAGTAGAATGGTGGTGGGAGGAATATCTTCTGTCTGACAGATTCTCTCTGAATGATCTGAGCAGACACTCTGTTTTTGGGAAATCCAGGTAATCTGAGCTGCAATCAAGAATTTACTGCTTTAGTGCACCTTTCACACTTTATAGAAAAAAAATTTTGTCATTTAATCAATTATATAGCTATCAGGGTTTTTTCCATAATGTCATTACCAAAGACTATGGTATATGCATTTTTAAACAATATATTTTATTGATTTTTTACAGAGAGGAAGGGAGAGGGATAGAGAGCTAGAAACATTGATCAGCTGCCTCCTGCACACCCCCTACTGGGGATGTGCCTGCAACCAAGGTATATGCCCTTGACTGGAATCGAATCCAGGACCCTTCAGTCCCCAGACTGATGCTCTATCCAGAGCCAAACCGGTTTTGGCGGTATATGCATTTTTAAAACCGCATTCATTTTACAGAGACTCAAATATTTTTCTTTAATACACTCACTATTGTGTACCGGTACTCAGAAAAATATACAATAAAAGTGTCCTTTCCCTCCCCTCACCAAACACCCGGCCTCCAAATTTCCCTCTCACAAGCAACCAACATTGTCAGTTAAAATAAAAAAGAAATAATCTTTAAGAGTTTGCTATTACATTACAAGGAAGAAAAACTTGGTAATTGAGTTTTATATGGCGGTTCCTCTAGATAGGCATGGCTATTAAGTCATAAAGTAACATTACAACATTGTTATGGAGTAATACAGTACATTTGTCCTCATGGTTTGTAGCTGTTACTAACCCATGGGGAAGTCCTCAATGAAACCTTGTTTAGCTCCATCTCATATTTGTTAAGATTATATAATTTTTAAAAATCTTACCCTTGAGTATTGGGGGCACTCACCTAGTGCCTGCAAGTGATTAAATCAATACTTTGCACAGAGACAATTCACTGATATCTGATGACTTGTCTTACCCATACTGGATTGTAAACTCTTACAATTGGAACTGAATCTTAATCCTCATTGGACCTTATACTTGGTGCACACTAGTATTCAAAAATATTACTTAAATTTATCCTTAATTTTTAAAATCCTTAAAATGCTCACCATGACCTGACCTTTGCCTACTTCTCTAGCCTCACTTCCTCGAATTATGGCATCAGATTGTTCTTCGTTTTAGTGGTGTGAAGATGTTTCTCAACGTATGGTTTCTTACCTTCAAGTGATCCTTTCTTCTTTTATCTCTCACCTCTCCCACCTCCCCCTCACACATCCGACTTCAATAACTCTCTGGAGTCATTTTCTCCTGCAATATTTCCTGACTTATAACCTCTCCCAACCTCAACTGAATTAATGCTTCTGACAACCAGCCATTAGTTCTCTCACATCATAAAGTAACTATGCAAATACTCCAACCAAATTGTTTTGGTGGTATCCTCTATGATTAGTACACTGAATGGCACATAGATGATTTTAATATGTGATTTGAATAAAAAGAACAAGTAACAGGGAAGTCATCTTGGCACAGAGTGCATTTCAGGAAAGGCATAGATGTAGAAATGCAAATAAGTGAATATTTGGTATACTTTCCTGAGACAGAACTTAAAAAAATAGAAGAGGATTTCAATTTTGAGGATACAATTCAGATCACAAAACAAATAACAAAGGCCCTTATGAGAAAGGATAGTCGAATGAGATTTGGCTATTAATAAGAACGACCAAGATTAAGAACCAGGAAAGCACGACATTGGCTGTTATCTTTGGTACAACAGGACATTTCCTATTGTTGAAAATACATACCAAGATGAAGAAAAATCAGTGGTTAAATGATATTCCAAACCTGCCTCCCAAATGGCCTAGACTACGGGGCGTGAAGATATTCCCAAACAGGCACACAAAGCTTTTCCTTCAAATTCATTTTTATTATGATACAACGTACATACCATGTGCCAATTCAACACTTTATAAAAAGTACAGTTCATTGCCATGAAGTACAGTCATAATGTTGTACAGCCATCACCCTCATCCACTTCTAACACACAGGCTGCAGCCGCACCTTCCTTCTTCCCATTCACTTTGTTTTAGTAACTTACTGGGCGTTATGTACCACAAAGCTTTCCGTGGGGCTCCACTCATGACCCCCGGATGCGTGAGCTTAGTCACTGAAGGATGACCCTTCACAGGCTACCCGTCATCTGCTTGCGGTCGTGGGCATTATGAGGCAAAGGTTCACTTCATCGCCTCCCCCGCGCCCGCCCTCGGGAGCATCAGTCACTGACAAGGACCCGCAGCAGCACCCACATCTCCCCAAAGAAATGCAACAACCAAGTCCCTAAAAGACAGCTGTCGAGAGCCCGCGTGGGCCTCCCGCGGCTTCCTTTCCCCAGAGGGCGTGGGGCAGGGACCGGCAGTTTATCCGGCACCACAGGGGGCATGTGAAGAGGGAAGAATCAAGGTCAACGTGAGAAACGCCCCCTTTCTGCCCTCCTACGGTTCCTTCTTCTGCAGCATCCGCCGCCTCCTCGCCTGTGCTCTTCTAAGTTCCCTTCAGCCCGCAGCCCCGCCGGACCCTTGGGCCTCGCGCTTTTTATTGACGCAACTCTCCCAATTCTCGCGGGATCTCGGGAGCGGGAGCCGTACCGGGGCGGACAAGCCTCTCGAAATCTCCGTTGGCTGGCCTGGGAGCCAAAGCCGTGGCCGAGAGGGGCTTCCACGGAGGAGGAGGAGGAGAGAGGAGGAGGGGCGGGGCGCCCGGCTGGGAGGGGGCGGGGCCTAGGCTCGGAAAGGGGAGGGGATAGGTGGGCGGGGCCGGCGAGGGAAGGCGGGGGGCGGGGCCGAGCGGCCCGGGGACCTGTTGATCGCAGGTAGCGCCGACTGGTCCGGGCTCCCTCGGGACGGGGGCGAGTGCGCATGCTCCGGGGCCTCGTCGGGCCAGTAGCCGAGCGGCGGTGACGAACCGGCGGCGGCGGCGACGGTGGTTGCGGGGGCTGCGATGGCGATGTGAGGGGGGCCCGAGGCGGGATGGTGCTTCCCCGGGAAGAAGGGCCGTATTCTTCCAATAGGACTACGAGCTCCTCCGTCCGACAGGCGGTGGGGGTGGCCGAGCCAGGCGAGAGGTAAGCCCCGCTCACTCTCTTCTCCGTGTCCCGACACCGCCGCCCCCTCCCCTCCCCTCCCCCCGCCGCCCCTCTTTCCCACGGGCCGGGCAGGAAACGGCCTCCTCCTCGCTGTCCCCCCTCGTCCGCCCCGGCTCCTGGCTCGGCGGCTCCCGCTCGGAGCCGGGTCCCGGGCCCGCTGAAGGTCGGTGGGGACGGCGGTGCCGAGTGCGCTCGGGGGGCGCCGAGGGGGTTCGCGGCGCGCCGCTCGCCGGAATCCCCCCCATTCCCCCCCTGCCGCCTCGGATCCGGATCGGAGGCGTCCCTTGGCCGACTTTGCCTGAAGCTCCCTCCCTTCGGCGGTCCCTTTCCCGGACGGAGCTTGCTTGCCCTTCGCCCTCTGCTCCATCCTTGCTCCTCCGTCCCTTGTCTTTACGCCTCCTTTCGGGGTGCAGCCCCTTCACCCCCGCCTCCCACGTGCCTTTTCGCCTCGGTGGTCGGTCCCCGGGTCGGAGGGAGGCAGGGCATCCTGGTATTCCCCCTCGATTTCTCCCCTCTCGCTCTGCATCCCCGGTCTGGCCCTCGATCGATGTTTATTTCTCTCCCGGACCAGGTTTCTCACTCCGGGATTTAAGATTTCATTTACACATCTCTGATTTCTTCCTTGGCCGCCTTTTATCCTCCTATACTGTATGCGTCCTCTCGGTGCTTCATCCTCCTGGTCTTTTGTTAGTTTCCGATTGTGCGTCTTGCTGCTTCAGCATCGCTTGAGCTGATTCTGTCTCCCCTCCTTCCCTCCCCTCGAAGGCCCTCACTCCCCCGGCCCTTCCCTCCCTTGGTACCCAGCCCGGTCGGCCGCGGTCCAGCTGTGGCCCCTGCCCCTCCGCCTGTCTTTTCCCACTCTGATCCCATTCTGGTCTCTAGTCTTGATTCCCCTCCCCTTTTCCCAACACACAAACCTAGAATTTTTTTTCTTCCTATTTGTTCTCTTAACTTCAGTCCATTGAACTTTGTATTCACTCAACAGTTCTGGTCCCTTCTGCTTTCTCCCTAAGCTACTAAGGTGACTGTCCACTCAATTTTTTTTTAGTTCAGCTTTCAGTTTGATAACATCTCTTCGTCGTCTTTCTTCACCGAATGGAACTGTCACCAAAAGAGTGGCAGTGGCAATAACCTGTTACACTTACTGGTTGAAGTTTTCGTTTTTTAAGAATTAGGTGTACCTGACAGAGTAGGAGAAACAACTTGAGTATAGATTGGATGAAATTATAAAGGGTTAAGATTCGTTAAAAGGCTGAGCTATAAACTAATAAGGTTAAAATTTGGAAGTGTTATTGTCCTCCAGGAAATACAGTCGTCCAAGAACAAATCTTCAATGAGATTTAACAAAGTGTTATTTTATAAAATTGGGTGTTTATTTTCATACATTTGCTATTTCAGTCCATTGCATCATTTTCCTGATGGTCTCTATCTCCTTTAGTAATTGCCTACAATGTCTACTAAATAATAGAATTAGTGTGCTTTACTGAAGGAGAAATATGTGAGAACACAAATATTAAATTTTTTAATTGAGCAAAAGAACTTTCTAAACAGTTTTGGAAAAATTTTCCCCATTTCCCTGTGATCAAGATTTGGCTTACATAAAACTTGTCTGTATATAAATCATGATATAGTATATCTTATTTTGAAGGCATCTCCTGAAGCAGTTGCTTTTAGTTAAGTTTGCCTTTATCCCAGAGTTTAAGATTAACTTAATTATGTATTTCTTTCTGGAATCTCATCGGTGTCCACAAACAGTAAATTCTTCCCTATGCTGTCTATGTCAGGTAGGAATTAAAATTTTCAGTTTCTGTTGTACAAAGGGAAACACCAAGACAAAAAATGTATTGAAAATAGTTTCTTATTCAAAGTGATAGTAAAGGTAAAGGTAGAGAGAGAAACAGGTTAGGCTCTGACGCCATTAAACCACACTTCTTTTGGAAGAACCTCAGTTATTGTGTATGTGGTACAGTGATGCACTCCTCAGCTTTTAAGTTTGTTTGTTTTTTTAATGATTTTTTTCCAGTGCAAGTAGATAACTGTTGCTTCGGAAGAAAGCTTTCTGCTTTTTCAAAAGCAAGTCTTTTATTTTTAGATAGCTATACATTAAAAAAGTAAATGCTTACAAATTCTTGTTGGTATTTTTTAATGAGTTGATTCTGTGCTCTTAGAAATTAAGGATTAATGGTTGATAGCAGGTACAGGACTAGAAGTCAGAAGATCTAAATTCTTATGATGACTCATGACATTTGGTTATAGAAGCCACTTAACCTCTATGACTTGGTGTCTCTATCTATAATTTGGGAGTCGGGGGGGGGGGTGGAGGGGAGTAACCATCCAGTAATCTTTTAGTAGCAGACTAAGCCTTAATTATTTATAAACATGCTTAGGGCCACCATAGACAAAAATTGCTACTTAAGTATTAATTTTATCTCTTTTAGACTGTGTAGTAGTGTGTAAATGAAATCTTAAATCCCAAATCACTGGGATTTAGTTTTGTTTTAATTTTAGATTTCTGTGAAAAGTCGTAGAAAGCTGCGAACTATGGACTAGCTTAGATTAATGTTCATATACAGTGGTGCCTCACACAACGAACTTAATTCGTTCCAGGAGCAAGTTTGTTATGCGAAAAGTTCGTTATGTGAAACGCGTTTTCCCATAACAATACATGTTAAAAAAAATAATTCGTTCTGTAGCATAAAATATGCTAAGATGACATAAAAAAAGATAAATTTTTGTTATTATTTTTATTTAGATACATCTAAAAACATAATTTTTAAAAAAAAATTATATAAAAAAAATATTGAGTTTAACTTAAAAGGACGACTGCCGTGATACGTGCGTGATTTAATTCGTAATGAAGAACGATTGCCGCGATACGTGCTTAAGTTAAGCGCAGTGACTAACGACTGCCTGCAGTGCCTGCGCGGAAGGATGCAATACATCGGCAGCGATCGTGGAAGCTCGGGCGACTTTGTTGTGTGAAACGAAGTTCGTTGTATGAATCATGAAATGAAGTTCGTTGTGTGCAGCGTTCGCTGTGCGAGGCGTTCTTTATGCGAGGCACCACTGTACAGCAAAACAAACGCTACAGCATTTAGTTGTATGAACAACTATGGCCTTGGTTCGCCAGGATTTGGCACTGAAAATGTAAGAGTTATACCTTTGGTTACCTACAATGTTTCTCTCTCTTATCTTAAATTTTAGCTTTGTTTACTGTAGGTAATAGACCCTTGAGAATGGGGATTGTTTCAGTGTTTCCCAAACTTCTCTCAGGATGAGAATCACCTGGTGGAGTTGTTAAACTACCGATTCCTGAATCCCAACTAAGAAGTGCTAAACTAGAATTTTTGGTAACATATAGGTAAAATTGTATACTTAACTAGTGCTCTGTCTTAGAGCACTAGTTAAGTATACAATTAGTGCTTTGTCTTAGAGCCCTAGTTAAGTATACAATTAGTGCTCAGTCTTAGAGCACTAGTTAAGTATACAATTAGTGCTTTGTCTTAGAGCCCTAGTTAAGTATACAATTAGTGCTCAGTCTTAGAGCACTAGTTAAGTATACAATTTTACCTATATGTTACCAAAAATTCTAGTTTAGCATTTCTTAGTAGGGATTCAGGAATCGGTAGTTTAACAACTCCACCAGGTGATTCTCATCATGAGAGAAGTTTGGGAAACATTGGAGAGGATAGAAAGGGCAAGGATTTCCTTTGCTTTAACTCTACGTATTGAGGGAAAAATGCTTCACAGTAAGCTTTGTGATGTTTACATGTGCATTAAAGAAATGGGTGAAAGATGGGAGCATATAGATCTGGAGTGATGGTTTCTTTCTTTTTTTTTTTTTATTGATTTTTTTACAGAGAGGAAGGGAGAGAGATAGTGAGCTAGAAATGTCAATGAGAGAGAAACATGGACCAGCTGCCTCTTGCACACCCTTTACTGAGGATGTGCCCGCAACCAATATACATGCCCATGACCGGAATAGAACCTGGGACCTTTCAGTCCGCAGGCTGACGCTCTATCCACTGAGCCAAACCGGTTTCAGCTGGAGTGATGGTTTCTTTTCCCCCCTAAGTTGTTTGTCAGGAAGAAGGTTTGTTTAGAGATGAATAAGAATAAGAAGCAGAGTGGTGGTAAAGAAGAAAGCATTCTTAATGGACCTAATGGTTTTTTCAGAAAAGTTATGAAGTGCACAAGTTGTTAATCAGGTCTAGATTTTTCAGAAGGAATAGAGTGAAACAACTCCACAAAGGTTTTAAATTTTATTTTTAAAGATTACTGCTTTTTTTTTTTTTAACAGGTACATACGTGGTTACCAATGATGTGATAAATTTAATAAAAATTAGTCTTTTTTTAATGGGAATGTAAAGGTGTCAGGTATATACCATTAAGAGATGTCTCCTACTTGAATAACCCTTAGGTGATTTTTGTTTTGATGAAATATTTTTTATGAACTGTCTTTCAACTGGAGAGCATTCTGAGAAAATATTTCCTTTTACGGGATTCGGTCTCTTCGACCATCTATAATATACAAAGTATTTCTCAATTATGTCATTGTGTAGAGTTCTGATATTGATAGTATTATTTCTGTTAATTTTTATTAATTTTTCTTTTGCTGTAGTTCTTAATATATTCTTAACTAGAAGCATTCCCTTGTTGAAATATCCTTGAAGTTGCCTTAAAGGATGCAGCTGCTTCATTCATGACTGGTTTTTTAGAGCAGTGTTATCTCTGACACCTGCTCTTTGATGTCTCCAAGTTGCCAGTAAGTTATTGGCTTCAATTGGAAATATGTACTGCTAATTGTAAATGTCTAAGCAGTAAAGAAAGGGCTTATTGTTAATCACAATTTAAGACCTTGGAAGCCTATGCCATTACTATTATCTTTTGGAATTGAAAAATCCAGATTTTAAAACCACTCTCATTCTTACTCAGATCTACTTTAAGACTGAAAATTAGTTACTTTCCTCAGGTAATAAGATTAAACTGTAGGCTGTCACCAGTCCTCTTCTCTAATCTTACAACTATAATATTTTATGTTAGTATAATAATTATATAATGTAATGCTTGCCAAGGGCCCCAGTTTGGTAAAGAAGTTCTGAAATAGTCCTTCAGGCAGGGGGAACTAGAGAAATGTCAATAAGGAATGAAATAGAAATACTGTTCGAATTAGAAAGTTGGAATATTCACTGTCTTGTTTTTTGTTGTTTTGTTTCCAAGATCTTAATTGGAGGCCAGTTCTTCTCCCTTTGAAGTCCTATGGCCTATACATGAAAATATTTTCAAACCATGCAATTGAAACTTATACTAATGGCCTGTTTAGTTGAGTTGCATTATTTTGAATAGACATTTTCTTGAATGAAATCATATTTAAAAATTGAGATAAAATAAAATGTCACCAATTTATTGAGCTCCAAGTGCCATGCTTAGTGCTTCATTTAAATTTTGTATATTTAATCTTTTTAAGCCTTAACCGTTTGACCTAGCAATTATAAATATTTCTTTTTGAAAAAATTTAGGCTTGGAGTCAGAATTAGAATCTAGGTCTGTCTGATACCAAAGTTACATGTAGACTAAAGAAAGCATAGGCAGTTAAGAAAACATTGTTTCTTAGAATATTTTTCAGAAAGAGGATTGTAATTTGTTCTCATTCTGAGCTTTTTTCTTACTTGAGACTACTAAAAGCTCCATTAATTTTTGCCGAGTGACCAAAGATGTGTGTGGCCTTGCATTGTCATGATGGAATACAACACCTTTTCGATTTGTCAATTCGGGCCGCTTTTCTTCAACTGCATTGTTTAATTTCGTTAGTTGTTCAATGTAGACATCAGAATTGATCGTTCGGTTGGGTGGTAAGAGTTCAAAGTAGACAATTCCTTTGTAATCCCACCAAACTGATAACAAAACCTTCTTTTGATGAATATCAGCTTTTGATGTTGTTTGAGTTGGTTCACCTGGCCTGCTCCACGATCTTTTCCGCTTGATATTGTTGTAAACAACCCATTTTTCATCGCCAGTTATCAGTCGTTTTAAAAATGGATCATTTTCATTATGTTTCTTTAGCAAATCGCAGCTGCTAATGCGTTGCGTTAACTGTGATTCTTTCAGTTCGTGAGGAACCCATGTATCGAGTTTTTGAACATAGCCAAGTTGTTTTAAGTGATTTTCAATGCATGTATGTGAGATAACTAATAACACTAAATATTTTAAGGAATGCTGGGCAGATTCCCTAACTAGGAAGTAGATGACGACTGTAGTTCTTTCCGAATTTCTCTTTATGTTAAAAAGAGTAACTAGTTTTTGGTACTTTGGGCTATCCTGTTTTTTTGTGTGTGTTTTTAAGGCATATAATAACATGATATATTCAAAGGCACTCTGTCTTATGTTACTGGCAGGTTTGTTTTATGGTATAGATGTATCTCTGAAAAATATATATGAACTGCTTTTGATAACTTAAATCCTGTTTTCCATATAATGTGAGAGGTGGCTTTCATTAAGTGCCCCATAATAACCAATCAAAGTTTTTTCTGTTTCTTAACTTTCATACTCATGTACTAAGTCAACCATGGAAAGGCTCTCAAAAGTTCCTAACTTTTTTTTTACATTATGTTTAAAGATAAGTTTATATGGATTTTCTATTATATTAACACACTTATACAAAATGAATAGTTTTCTGTTTTGAGAGTTGCCTCCCACATGCCCCCAACCTCCACCAGGGTAAAGGATCTAACCCACAATCTAGGTATGTGCCCTGATCAAGAAGACCTTTAGGTGTGCTGGATGATGCTCCAACCAACTAAGCTACACAGGCCAGGGCAAGAACAATGCCTTTAAAACTTCAGATATGGTGTTTATGGGATGTGAGAAATTAGAATGTTTCATGGTTCGGGAATAATGTTAATTAAATAGAAAATTGACTGTAGTGATTTATCAAGGACAAATGTTTTTTCATTGTTGCATTCTGATTTCAGTTTTTGTTTTATTATTGGTATATTTATCTTATGGCTTGATGATCATTGAATCTGTTTGCTATACCAATTCAGGTGTAGGCTTTAGAAATATGCAAATTTAAATGCAAACTGTGGAGTTTTATACATTTGAGATTTTTGTCGTTTTTTATTATTTCCTAAATGTGACTTTGGATAAATTATGTAACCATTCTGATCCTTAGTTTGCTCACCTGTAAAATAGAGTAATAACAGCTTTTTTGCATTTTTATGATAATTAAATAAAATAACATAGTTAAAGTTAACTGATGTAAGAGTAGGTGTTCCAAAAAGTTTTGAATGTCTGTTCTGTTTGTTTTCTATTTTATATTGTTATTTGGTCTGTATTTGGTATCAAAAGGGAGAGGTTTTTAAAAAGTTTGTCTATCAGGCTATTCTCTTTGTCTTTCCTTTGAAGATCTACCTTCTCTCCACAAAAGAGAAGAATTTTATCTTCTTAAATATTTCTATAATTTCTGCAGTATAGCATATGACTGGCCCTCAGGAGTTCATTTTGATGTCCAAGGAGTGGGAGCAAAAGTTTCTAGACCAGTGACTGTCCATGTCCCCTCTATTGTAATGATTCTGATAAACTCACCTTCACTGTAAATCACTTTTTAAATGAAATATCACTGATGAAAGTGTGTATGCATGTGAATAATTGTGAAGGCAAAAGAAGGCTGAAGGCATCTGAATGGTGATGATTTTCAGATTCAGACTAGTAACAGATGGCTTGGCCATTTTAAAGCAGGATATAATCCAGTGACTTAGCATATTTAACCTTTACAAGCGGGAACTATGCAGTGTTAGGGCCTTAGCCAATCAAAATGCAACTGCATCAAAAAATAGGACAGATATTTAGACTGAACCAACTATGAAGATTTAAACAATTTAGGTGGCCAGAATTACACCAGATAACAGGTTTAAATGTAAGATTAATTTATATGTCATTGGCTGATTGTTCTCAATATATAACTGTATGTAACTTATGCTTTTTGATGTGACTATTAAGGTTCAAAATAGCAGTTAAGGAAGGTGGTAGTCTACATCTTTACGATGGAGAGAAGAAAATATCTGCCAAAGAGTACACATTGTCTTTATTCTAACAATGGGGGCCCTAATTCATGACTTCATACACCTTAAAAGGAACTGTGGGACACAAGGCTGCGGTGGGCACAGAGGCAAGTCTCGGCCCATCCTCCACACCTCCACCTGGCCCCTCCCTCCAAAACCCCAGTCCGCTGTCTGCCTGCGGCCCTGCTCCCATGCACTGATGGCCCCGGCTCTTCTCATACCCGCTGACGGTGTGGAATGATTGGGACTGGTGCCAGCAACAGATAAGAGCAGGGCTGGCACTGTCAGTAGATGTAAGCAGCTGCTGCTGCTGCCCTGATTGCCCCTCAGGAGCAAGGGGAGGTGGAAGAGCCTCCAGGGGCGATTGGGGCCTGCAGTTGCAGCTTGAAACTGCTGATTGCACTGAGAGATCTGGACCAGCGCTGCACTGGCAGCAGGAGTGAGTGCAGGGCTGGACCATGGCTCACGGGAGCAAAGAATTTTCAGTAACCACCAGAGGCTCACCCTGATGATAGCAACTGGAACCCCACCTTGGTCTGGTGTCTCCATTTACCTGCTCCACCATCCTCCTACAGCTGATGCCCACCATGTTCTGTGCATGCCCCTGGTGGTCAGTGCATATCATAGCGACCAGTTTGGTTGTTCCACTGTTTGGTTTATTTACATATTAGGGTTTTATATGTATAGGTTTTTAGTACCTAAAATAATTATACCAATGGCAAAAGATTTCATTTTTAATTTAAGCAATATTTGGAGTTTGGGAAAAACTACAGCAAATCTAGGCAACATTTTTGTCAAAATATTTTAGGTAATTTAGCACATGTGTTATTGTGTGTTTGTGCATGCACATATTTTATTCAGAAATGATTTTGAAATCATTTCTCTACCCATGGAGTTATTTAAAAACTGGGTTCTACATCTTAAAAATTAATAGACTTATAATGTTTTGGATACTCATGAAGATTTTTTCTGAACCACTAAGCAGAAGAAAGTATCAATAGTATTCTGTTTATTATTGTGCTTTAAAATATGTACAAGTGGATCTTTAACAAAGATATAATAGTTAATGAAACTGTGAATGAAAACAGCATCTTTAAAACTTATTCCTAAACCTTACAGAGGATATATTGCAATAGATCTCTTAGATATATTGAGAATATTAAATAACTAACAAAGCATAGGTTTCCTTAAAGAGGACTTTTATATTTACTGTTTTATTTGAGATGTTATTTTTCCTTTTTCATAGGAGAAACAATATATTTTTAACAAGAATCAGTAACTGGAAATACAAGATTTCTTATTTAATAATGTTAAAATGAAGCTTTGACCAGTAGAGGTAAGAACATGGCATTTCTTTTGCATTTAATTAATAAAAATCAGATTGTATGTCAAATTTCCATGAAGAACTATTTCAAGAGCTGTGAAGGGTCTAAGATTCTATCCCACTTGCAAGCTAACAAGTTAGCCTGCCACCAGTGCTGTGGATGTAGTCAAAAGACATGAGACTCGGATCAAGGAGGACAGTTTATACTAGTAACAGTAGCTAGAGTACCAGGCTACACCTATATATGAGTAGGTTGTGTTATAGTAGAGGAACCCTGAGCTAAGGGTACCTGAATATTTTTTTTGGACAATAGTCTTGCCTAACTTATGCCTCAGGGTGACACTTTATCTCTTTTACTTGGGATAGTAAACATATTTGCCCTGTGTTCTAGAATGAAATACTATCTCTGATTTCCTTAGTTTTTGCTAAACACATCCTTGAAAAATAGCCTGGAACAATAGGTAGTCATTGTCTCTACCTGCAAGACATACAAAAACACAAGACTCTAGAAATTGTCTTTCAATACTTCCTTCTCTGAATTGTTTTATAAAGCATGTATTATCATAAAGATGATTATAGCTATGCTTTTTTTAAATAGTGGAAAGATGGAAACCAGTGATATATCCAATAATAGGAGATTGTTTCAATTATAACATTCATAGTGTAATAGTTAACACTTAAAAATAATGTTGCAAAACTACATTTATTGACATAGATGTTCATCAAAAAAATTAAGTGAGCCCTGGCCAATGTGGCTCAGTTGATTGGAGCATTGTCCTGTATACAAAAAGGTCACAGGTTTGATTTCCTCCTGGTCAGGGCACATACTCAGGTTTGGGGTTCAATCCCCAGGTGAGGTGCATACGGGAGGCAACTGATCAATGTTTCTCACTCACAGGATGCTTCTTTCTTTTTCTCTCTCTCCCCACTCCCTTCCTCTGTCTAAAATCAGTAAAAACATATCCTCAGGTGAGAATTAACAACAAAAAATTAAATGAAATAAACTGATTATAAAATACACATGTGGTTTGATACCCTTTATAGAAATTGTACAAATGCACATACATATGAAGAATATATACGAAAGTATATATTTTAGTGAATAGAATTGTGTTTTTTGCTTATCTATATTTTAACATTTTTGAAGATGAATGCTTTCAGGTTTTTGTAATGAGGAAGAAAATTTTTTTGAAATTTAAAAGATGAAATATCATTTAAGAACTTCACCTAACAGAGAAAAACCTTCATGAGTATAAATGGGGATAAAAGAATGTTAACTTTGGAGTTGCCTTTATGTGCAATGTAGAACTAGAAGAAGATTATTATTTTTCCTTAATGAGTTACTATTTTACTTATGATAAAGTCAAGAGTTTCTTTTAGTAATTTGGTGTATTATTTATTATCATATGCCACGAAGGGAAACAAATCTTAGAAAAAGCATTCTAACAGGACATACCTTAAATTATATTATAGAATGCTAGTCTACTAAATATATTATTAGTAAGTATACTTTGTAAGTATAGATTCTGGTGCTATTTTGTTGGGTTAGTCTAAGTTAGATACACTAATTTGCTTCACTTTTCTCGTCTGCCTATATATGATACTCAAATATGTTTAAATGGTAGTGTTTTTGTTGGCATTTTGTTGTTGAGCTTCTCATTATTTTTTCCCCTTCTTTAGCCACGGTGGTGTTACCAGATTTGTCTTATGAATATAAATTAAAAATGACTGAAATTCAAGCAATGGTAGAATTCTCCGTGGAGCTAAACAAGTTCTACAATGTGGATTTATTTCAGAGAGGGTATGTATTTTAATGTGAAAACTATATATTTTGTATAAGATAATATGTACAATTTTCTTTTATATTTAATTACACACTTTTGTTCCAGTATATATAAGGAAAACAATGAGGTATATTCAAGTAATTATTTTCTCAGAGAAATTTATTTTTAAATACATGTTTGAGAATTATCTACATGGATATAATGATAATACTGGATATATTTAACATGTTTATATATTTATACCAATAATTGAGAGAACTTTAATGAAAATGTATAAGATCTCATTTCGCCTTTTTAAAAAGCTTATAGTATACAGGGAAAATAAAATATATATCTGAAACACTAAAGAAGGACACAAAATGATGACTGTTCAGTAAGTGTATGTAGGAAGTGCTCTAGGAAAAATATATTTCTAGTTATATATTAGGAAAGTCATTATGGAATGATAGGATCAAAGTATGAATAAGACTTGGATAAGCAAAGGGTAAATTATCTTATAATATCAGTCTCTCTTAATATTTATTATTAGTGTAAAAAAAAAAAGTATGAGATCCACACATCTAAGAGAGAGCAGCATGAATCAAGTCTTGGAACTGGGAATTAATACGTTATTTCAAAAAATACTTAGGAGATTGGATATTCTCTAGAAGAAAAGATAGTAAAAAAAAAAAAAAAAAAAGTAGAGGTTATGTTTGTGAAAGCCTTTTAATATCTGGGGAAGAGTTGAGACTAGAGACTAGGATAGCTATTGATGGTTTCTAAGTAAGAATGAAATTATTACTATTATTACAATAAGGTCTTACTAACTTGATGAAGACTATGATATATTAGATTGATGGTTGGCTGTGTATAAGAAATAGAAGCAGGCAGAAAAGTTTAGAGATGCTTGAACTTACTCAAGATATATACCCAAAGGTCTGTACTGAGAATGGTAGTAGTGCAGCTGTGACTTAACAGGAATAGAATGAGAGAAATCTTTTGTTGTTTTTTATTTGTTTGTTTTTGCTTGGCATTGCCATTTTGTTGAAAATATAAAACAATTGTGCTCTGCTCTGCTCCACATGATCTGTCATCCCTCAGTAGGACAGCCGAGGCTGCTTCTCGTGGTAGAGGCAGGTTAGCAAGAAAGAGCAGAGGATTCCAAGGCCCCTGGAATAGGCCTACTTGTTACTTCCACTGCATTCTATTGGCTAAGCAAGTTACAAGACCAGACAAGGTGTCTAGGCTAGTGGTTCTTTGGCCAATAAAATTTAAAACTTTATGGATATCTATATATTTTTTCTTTTTCTTCTCCTTTTTTCTTGGGTATCGATATTTTTATATAACTCATTCCATGAAACCTATACCCAAAATTGTATTTTAAGGCATGACTATTCTCTAGATGTAGTCACTACTCCTGGAGGATCAGAATTCTGTGGGATCATGCCCTTAAATTCCCCAAAAACCCTCTTGTCAAACAAAACGTGTACTTAGACACTGCCTTAATTCCTTTAGAGAGCTTAAGAAAGGGATTTATAGCCATACCCGTGATTTGATCTTTGTCTATGGCTGCATTTTATTTTGAAAAATCTTTAGGGAAACAGTTTTATATTTTAACCCAGCAAGTCCTGGTCTCTTAGATTCTGCTTGTAAGATGACCACTTGTTTCTTTAGCTTATCTCCTTCTTGCAAAATCTTATACTTAGGTAAGAGCAGCCAGTGACATTTAGCCTTCTGCCTGGAATTTAGCTTGCTAAGTACAAAAATTTCTTAGGTACATTGTCTAAATTCTTCTAAGTTATTGCTGACATTATATTTACATAAGTTTTCACTACATAACACGTGTTACCATTTTATAAGTCTCCTATAGTTTCCTTATTTTTCTTGCCTCTATAACCTGTTACTTTGGTCTCCAAGTCAGTGCCACATATTTTAAGTTTTTGTTATGCACCAATTTCTGTACTAATTCTATATTGCCACAGTAATGCAGCTAATAACAAATACAAAGTCTCGGTGCATCACAACAATAAACATTTATTTTTGCTTTAAATCTATAAATCAGTTGAGTGGGTCAGCTGATCTGGGCTGGCTTGACTAATCTTTTCTGGGTTGGCTGGGTACTAGTTGATGCTGGGTACTACTTACTGCCTCACTTGGATGGACTCAGTTATGTTTATGACCCCTCATATTCCAGCTTATTCTCATGGAAAAACCAGGTTTCTAAAGGGAAAGAAATTATATAAGAAGGCGTTGTAAGACCTAGGCTTTAGCATACTGTCATCTCTGCAACATTGTATTTCCCACAACAAGTCATAAAGCCGGCCCAGATTCAAGGGGTTGGGGACTACACTCACTTTTTAATGGAAGTCACATTGCAAGAGATTTAGAAACAGGGATGGGCAAAAAAATTGGAAACACTTTTAAAATCAATCTATCACACCTTAATTTCTAGAGGCATTTTGGGGAATAAATAGTAGGAGTTAATGAGTGATTCCATTTAGAGGATGATGCTGAGATAAAACACTTAATAATACCCTGTTTCCCCGAAAATAAGACAGTGTCTTATATTAATTTTTGCTCCCAAAGATGCACTAGGTCTTATTTTCAGGGGATGTCTTATTTTTCCATGAAGAAGCATACGGTACACTTTTATTGTTAAATGAAAATAAAGGAAATTTATTACCTGTATATGGTACGGTAGTACGGTAGTTGTCAACACAAACCAGACAAACTGAATCCTACAGTATCAAGAATTTACTCATTTATTCAATGACAATCATGTCATTATCTTCTAGAACATCATCATAACAATCCAATTCCTGAATTTCCTGGTGAATTTCTTGTGACTCCATTTCAGAATCAGTGGACCAAATCTCTCATGTTTAGCCTAGGAGGGCCTTATTTTCAGGGGGATGCCTTATATTTCACTCAGAAGGAAACCTGTAAGTAGGTCTTATTTTCGGAGGATGTGTTATTTTCGGGGAAACACGATATATATGAAGAGGTATGGATTTGCATGATGTCTAGGATTACTTTGAAATAGCTCAACAAAGGGAAAAAGTACTGTTTAATCAAACATGGCAAACATTTTTTAATTGATGGAAATAGGTAGTGGGCATATCAGTTCATTGCTTGACTTTTTACAGATTTAGAATTTGTAATATGAGATTTAAAAGATAACGCTGAAGTTTTAAATCACATTGACTTAGACAATATTAGTAATACTGAAGAAGATGAAGGGTGTAGGACTCAAGATTAGTTCATTTATGTTGAGTTTGAAATGAAATATGTTAAGAAAAATTCAACAGTTGGCTTTATTGAGTGATTTATGAATCAGGCAGTATCCCATTTAGCAAGTAGAGAGGAACCCCAGAAGGAAGACGCTTTTAGACAGAAACTAGTTATGACAAGAAAGCTCTTAGAAAATAGAGTTATTTCAAGTAAGGTTATCTTATAGGAAAGAAGGGATCTTATCAGGCAGATTGTCTGAACTTCCTTTGGTGGATGGAGAGGGCTTGTTTGACAGATTATCTCATTGAGGTAGTGGCCAGAAAATTCCAGACTAACCAATTAAGATAACATTCCTAGAAAAGGTTGAAACTACATTTGGGTGAGGTATTAAGTCTAGGTTCTTTGAGATGGGTTTTAGCATAAATAACTATTTGGGCCCGCGGTTTTCTCTTTAACATATCCTAGTGGAGGTAGTTTATAAATAATTGGAGGTTTGGAACTGGGTATAAGGATTAAGTGAGTTATCATTCCCTTTTATTGTCAACCAGCATAAATATAGCGTGTATAATTACAGCTTCTATTAATTTGCTATTCTTCAATCTGATTCCCTATCAATTGAGGACTTTTGAAGAATATTGTTTCTGATCTTTTAAAAATCTAATGATGAGAGGCTTACTGTTTTTAGATATAAGGCTTGACTTATTTGTGAGAGTATTTTCAAGGATATAATTTATTCTTTTTTTCTATTTTGATTTATCTTTTTTTTTTTAATCTTTTACATCTTTTCCTTTTTTTTAAATATATTTTATTGATTTTTTTACAGAGAGGAAGGGAGAGTGATAGAGAGCTAGAAACATCGATGAGAGAGAATCATCAATTAGCTGCTTCTTGCACACCCCCTACTGGGGATGTGCCTGCAACCAAGGTACATGCCCTTGATCAGAATCGAACCCAGGACCTTTCAGTCCACAAGCTGATGCTCTATCCACTGAGCCAAACCGGTTTCGGCTACATCTTTTCTTTATGCTACTTAGGGTCCTTACTAATTCTGTCATTTAAGCTAGTTAATTTCAAATTTGTGTTTAGCTGTTTTGTTACTGTCAGCTCTGGTAGATAAACATACATAAATTACCTAAATTTACATTAGGAAATAAAATTTTCTTTGCTAGTTTATTTTCAAATGATTACTTAGGATACTGAGATGAAAAACTTAAACTCTCAAGTAATTCCTATGCAATATTTTATTGTGATATTTAAAAAATAACATCGCCGAAACCAGTTTGGCTCAGTGGATAGAGCGTCAGCCTGTGGACTGAGGGGTCCTGGGTTCGATTCTGGTCAGGGGCATGTGCCCTGGTTGCGGGCGCATCCCCAGTAGGGGGTGTGCGGGAGGCAGCTGATCGATGATTCTCTCTCATCGATGTTTCTGGCTCTCTGTCCCTCTCCCTTCCTCTCTGTAAAAAGTCAATAGAATATATTTAAAAAAAAATAATAACATCAGTAAATATCTTACTGAATAACATTGGAATTATAGCCCAATAAGGAGTGAATGGAAATGAATGTGAGGAAACATTTCTTGTGCATGTTTCATTATGGTTCTTTTCCTGCTCATCTAAATATCTTAGTGTTTAATTTGCCACCATTGTTGTCACGTGATAATTGATTAAGCAGTAATTAAACTTTAGGCAGATAGAGAACATGTTACATCTAAGATTTGTTTTGAGTGGGTAGGTTTTTATAGTATGAAATCAGTTTTTAACGTAACTCATTTTTCAAAATTGTACATAGAATAATTTATCCTTATTGTCTTTAAAAAAATAAAATTAAGCAATGAAATTCTTAACTTATTAATTCCTATAAGTGCCTTATTAATTCCTCTGGTTGTGATGGCATTCTCTCATTTAAGTAAGAAATACCATTTATATTTCTTACATTTTTCCCATTTATCTTTAAATATACTGATTTCCCTTTGGGTTTTATCCCACACTAATATTTAATCTGTGGATCTCATATTTTGTTTTCTATCATTGGTAAATATTATGGGAGAATGATATTAGCAGATCAAATTTATTTCTTTAGTATGTATAGCTATATAGAAATTGGGGCATTGCATATTTTAAATGGTTTATTTGTCTCTTTTGCTTTAGTTTTTACCAGATCCGTGCATCTATGAAAATTCCACCAAGAGTTCCCCACAGAGTAGAAGCTAGTTTGTTTCATGCAACAGGTAAGCCAAGAAATATTTTAAACAAGGAATATTTTCAACTTAAAAAAAAGAAACCTTGTAGCCTGGAGCAGAGCCAAGCCTTCTGCTCACTCTTTGGCTGCAGCCATTTCTGTTTGGATTTGTTTACCTTCTATAATTGAAACTTTGCAGCCTGGAGTGGAGGCTTAGGCCTGCTAGGGCAGGTGGAAACCTTAGCTTCTTCTATTGCCATAGAAACCCAAGCCTCCCTGCTGTTCTCTATGGCCACAGCCATCTTGTTTGGGGTTAATTTGCATACTTACTCTGATTGGCTGATGAGTGTTGCTTGTGGAGAGGAGTGATGGTTAATTTGCATATTACTCTTTTATTATGTAGGATTAAGTAGATGTGTAGGCTTGCTGAATTACATGACAGTTCTACTTTATGTTGTTTTTATAATCTATCCCTATCTTTCTCACCTATCCCTAAAAAACAGGTTGTAACATTTTTAAAACCAGTTTCATAGAAAATATCTACATAGGAACAGTTTCTAAAAACAGTATGATTTGGTTTCAGTTCAGTAATTTTTCACTAACAAATATTTTTTTCTACCTTTTACAATCCTCTCCTTTTTTTCCTTAAGACTACTAAGTCTCAGCAAAATACTTATCTTCTATAATAATAAAAGCATTGCTCTAGCCTGTTTGGCTCAGTGGATAGAGCGTTGGCCTGCAGACTGAGGGGTCCCAGGTCAACTCCGGTCAAGGGTATGTACCTTGGTTGCGGGCACATCCCCAGAGGGGAGTATGCAGGAGGCAGCTGATTGATGTTTCTAATCTCTATTCCTCTCCCTTCCACTCTGTAAAAAATCAATAAAATATATTTAGGAAAAAAACAATAAAAGCATAACATGATAATTAGGCCAGATAGGCAAACGAACTTCCAGATGAAGCCAAAGCCGGGGCTGCAAGGGCTGAGCCCCTTGGACACCAGTTTTTTTCATTGGGCCTGTAGGTAGGTTATAAACATCCTTCTGCCTCCTAAAGTTGCTACACATTTATAGAATTTATGATTCTATTAATGCTTTAAGATTTTGATGCCACTTAGATAAGAGAGAATAGGAAAAAGCAAAACTAAAAAATAAGGGGGCATATGATAAATCTTTAGCAATCTGTTTTCTGATCCTTTAAATGTCCAATTAACCAGGATCATACACAGGTTTCACTCTTTACTATAGGTGTGTGAAAAGACCAATCTCCAGCATTTTATTTATGTTGACTTCTACATTTTGACTCATCTAAATAAACATTGTAGTGTTACAAGAGTACATACACTTTCTTGTTCAAATAGATCTAAAGTGAATCTATGTAGGAAAACAGTGACACTAAAATTCTAACTTCAGGTTATATTAGGCTGAGACTTTTCATAGAAAGTTTCTTTGAAGTTAGAAGCAATCCTGGAAAGTTTGGAATGGATAGGAAAGTGCATTAAGTGCTACTCCAGGAAACATACAGACTGAAATATTTTAAGCCACTGGCAGTTAGTATAGAAAACATAATTCTTTTTCTTTGGTCTTTTGGAATATGTTTTATTCCTCTCGACTAAAGTTTGGATGCCAAGAAGCAGGAAATATATTCCCTATAGAACAGGTACCTGTTTAACGCCATTGTAGACCTCTCCATATAAAAGCTGGGAGATAGCCGAAACCGGTTTGGCTCAGTGGATAGAGCGTCGGCCTGCAGACTAAAAGGTTCCCAGGTTCAATTGCAGTCAAGGGCATGTACCTTGGTTGTGGGCACAACCCCAGAGGGGATGTGCAGGAGGCAGCTAGTCGATGTTTCTCTCTCATCGATGTTTCTAGCTCTCTGTCCCTCTCTCTACCTCTCTGTAAAAAATCAATAAAATAAAAAATAAAAAAATAAAATCTGGGAGATAAAACATATTTCCACCATTTTTTTTGTCAAGTTATTCAGTTTAATTCAACTAGCTCCCTAAAAATAAATGTCAAAAAAGAGTTTACTTAGGAAATTTTTTGAGAATAGCTAACCTCCTGCTTTCCACAATGCCTGTTAAGAAGGTTGGATAACAAAGAAGTAGTAGCCTACCTTCCTCCCCCCCCCCCATTAATAAGTAGATACCTAGTAAGAGTTCATTCAGTTAGGCATAATAAATGGGGGAGGGGGGGAGAACTGAATATGGAGAATAGACTATTTTTTTTTTCAACATTGCCCTTTTTGACTAATTCTCTATTGAAGTTCTCGTTTTATCCACAGGGTCTGTCAAGAGTGAGTGCTCAAAAAGTTTATTTCCTGTAGTTTAGTAATGAGCCTCTTGGATGGATATTCAGCTTGTCAGGACAGGGCAGTTTAGTTGAGGAGGCATTCCTTTCTCAGCTCTGGGCTCTGTAAATTGTACTACTTTCTTAATTAGAAAGCGCAGGAGATATCAGAGCAAATGGTGGATCTTTACAGGGATGCAGTTAGGAGTTTGTTAACTGCCTTTTGGAAGTCATTGTAAGAGTAAGTGGTGTTGATGGGTTCAATACAGGTTGTTTTCTTAACTGTTTTAGGAATTCAAGGATGGGAGTGGCTTTACTCTAGGTTCAGCTTAACTGTTTGGTGGCAAATTGCAGTCCTCCATTTAGAGTGGTGTGATCTTTGGAAAGCCGGCTGATACTTGAGAGCAGCTTTTGAAAAGGTGGGACTCCACAAGCCAGAGGTGGCCATTCAGGAATTGGTTTCAGTTTAGATACACAAAGAAAGCAATGGGAGTGTCTTAGCCATCTCTCTAGCAGTACTGTATTTTTCCATGTACTGTATAAGACACTTTTTTTTTCTTCTAAAATTAGACTGAAAATCGAGGGGTGTCTTACATACAGAAGTCAGCCAAGAGTAAAGTATTATAGGAGGGATCTCAATACCAGATTTCAAGCTGTATTTCAAAGCCACTGTTCTCAAAACAGCCTGGTACTGGCACAAGAACAGACATATAGATCAATGGAATAGAATAGAGAATCCAGATATCAACCCAAATCACTATGCTCAATTAATATTTGATAAAGGAGGCACAAATATACAATGGAGTCAAGACAGTCTCTTCAATAAATGGTGTTGGGAAAATTGGACAGATACATGCAAAAGAATGAAACTAGATCACCAACTTATAGTATACACAAAAATAAACTCAAAATGGATACAGCACTTAAACATAAGACGGGAAACCATAAAAATACTAGAGGCATCCACAGGCAGCAAAATCTCAGACATATGCCAAAAGAACTTCTTCACTGATACTGCCCCTAGGGCAATGGAAGCTAAAGAGAAAATAAACAAATGGGACTACATCAAAATAAAAAGCTTTTTTACAGCAAAAGAAACCATCAACAAAACAACAAGAAAGCCCACTGTATGGGAGAACATATTTGCAAATGTTATCACTGATAAAGGTTTAATCTCCAACATCTACAGGCAGCTTATACAACTTAATAAAAGGAAGATAAATGAGCCAATTAAAAAATGGGCAATGGACATAAATAGAATATTTTCAAAAGAAGACAGAAGGAAGGGCAAGAGGCACATGAAAACATGCTCAAAGTCATTAATTATCCAAGAGATGCAAATCAAAACAACAATGCAGTACCATCTCACACCTGTCAGAATGGCCAACATCAACAAATCAACAAACGACAAGTGTTGGCGAGGTTGCGGAGAAAAAGGAACCCTCGTGCACTGCTGGAGGGAATGCAGACTGGTACAACCACTGTGGAGAACAGTATGGAGCTTCCTCAAAAAACTGAAAATGGAACTCCCATTTGACCCAGTAATCCCACTCCTAGAATTATATCCGAAGAAGCTAGAAAGAAAGAATTCTTATCATTTGCAGCAACCTGGATGGAATTGAAGAACATCATGCTGAGTGAAATAAGCCAGTCAATGAAAGAGAAACACCACATGACCTCACTCATTTGTGGATAATAAAGAACATTATAAACTGATGAACCAAAAGATAGATATAGATATATCGATAGATATAGATATAGATATAGATATAGATATAGATATAGATATAGATATACATACAGTAATGCAACAAGCAGGCTGTCAAATTACAGCAGGGAGGGTAGGGAGATCTGGGGGAGATAATAGGTCAATCGAAGGATTTGTATACATGCATATAAGTACAACCAATGGACACAAAACTCTGGGGAGGGAGGGCAAGTATGGGAGGGGGGCAATGGTAAGATATGTACACAGATAATTAATAAAAAATAAATAAAATATTCAAATAAAATAAATTATTACAGCTTGGATTTTCTTTATTCTTTTTATACATACCTCAATTTTCTTTTTTGAAGTATAATTGACATATAATATTATTAGTTTCAGGTATATGACATTGATTTAGTATTTATGTACATTATGCAATGACCACCAAGGTAAAGTTTACTTACCTCTAATCACCATACAAAGTTATTACAATATTACTGACTATATTCCCTATGCTGTACATTACATTCCCATGATATATTTTATAATTGTAAGTTTATACCTCCTAATCTCCTGCATTTCTTTTGCCCATCCCCCCTACAGACACCAGTTTGTTCTCTGTATCTGAGTCTGTTCCTTTTTAGTTTTGTTTTAGATTCCACATATAAGCATACCCTGTTTTTCTTCTAACTTTGATTTATACTTTTATTTCAAGACCTTATCTTTCTAACACTGTTTTATCATAATTCTTACATCTTATGTATATTTATGGAAAATGTTCAAGAAGAACTGAAAAAATAATGATTTTGTCTGTGAGTCACAGTAGGACAGGTTAGATGTGCAGGAGAAATATTAGATGGTATTATATGGCTTATTTTAATATTTTTAAATCATTTCCAGTGTGAGATTATGCTGACAGTGAGAGGCTTGGGTCAGGAAGTAGCTGTCCTCTTTGGTAACATCAGTCATGAAAGACAAGTATTTGGCTGTTGAAATTGATTAGTAAGAATACATTCAGAGACTTCTGCAACAGATAAATCATTCTAGTTCTAGGCC